CTTGGTGGTTTGTACGGCTGTTCCCGAGGGATCCCGGTTCCCGCGCGGGCTGAGGGAGGCTGGGTTTCACTCCACCCTGATGAGGATGTTGTGATGTTTTCAGGGAAATCCGAGGAGCTAGTTCCTTACCTGTTAGAGGTTTGTGGAAAATCATGATGTAAAATGTGCTAAACAACTGTTTCTTGGCTTGGATTTGTTATTCTTAGCTGTTATTTTTCTCTCTAAATGTATTACGTATGTTTTCAAACTGCAGCAGATCCTTGTAAACAGTATTTCTAGAAGAACCACCAGTAATTCCTGTATGCTGGCACTGCCATGTCCATTTATGAAATTTTTACTTTTTTTTTTTTTAATTTAGATTATGTGGATAAGCCTTTGGAAAAACCGTTGAAGCTAGTGCTTAAAGTCGGAGGAAGCGAAGTGACTGAACTTTCTGGGTCGGGACATGATTCTAGTTACTATGACGACAGATCGGATCATGAGCGAGAACGACATAAAGAAAAGAAGAAAAAAAAGAAAAAAAAGTCTGAGAAGGAAAAAGAAAAACATCTAGATGATGAGGAAAGAAGAAAGAGAAAGGTAAGCTGTGGTTTTTAGAATCCAGATGTACTGGTCTTCTTCATGCTTGCTTATCAGATCTAAAGTCTGTCACAGAGTACCAGAACCTTTTTTTTTAATATATAAATTACTGTTGCAAGAAGCATATTGTTTGGAGACAGCACTTCACATGTATAGAAAACTCCCCTGTGTGTGTGCTGGTGAGTTTCTCCTATTTAAAAGAGATATCCTTGTGATGATTTTTTGAACAAAGTAAAAGCTTGTTTCTGGTAACTGCTTATTTTTTTATCCATTTGCTTTGTCTGTGGTGATGAATACTATTTTTAAGTTGAATGTTTTGTATTTCAGAAACGTATTTTGCCACTCTTTGAGGAGGGTATTTTTAGCTTTTCGAATAAATGTAGATTGCATTTCTGTTCCTGAGGTATGCCAATTTATTGGACATTGAAATTGATATATTTGCTCCAGACAGCTTTCTGAAATCTGATCTGTTGAATACTGTGGTACGACAGTCTTGTTGGCTCTTGTTCTGAATAACCTGCATGCTAGGCTTTCATTTGTGTACTAATGGTTCTCTGACCTCTCTGCTTTCTTAATTCTCTTCTGTCACGTAGTTTCACTATTCTCATATGACAGTTTTTCAGTACTGCTTTGTATGTGTGTATAGCTAACATTTGTCATTTTGAATTGATTTATTTGTTAGGCTTGTATTACTTGAAAATTATATATAGTGTAGGATCATTCAGAAGCTCTTGAATACAGGGCAGATAGTGGAAAATTATTCTTTGTACAAGCATTTTCAAATGTTTCAGTTAAGAGCCTTATTGGGACTTGAAATGTAGCGAAACAGCTGTCTTTAATACAAAAATCTTACAGTGTCAGATAAAATTATATGTTTCACCTTTACTAAATTGTGGGGAGTTTTTGTTTGGATTTTTTTCCCCCAAAACTTCATCATTAGTGCATGCAAAAGAAGCTAATGGATAGATAAGTAACAAAAGTGCGGTCTAAACTAATGAAAGTGTGCTTTTCTGTGTGAAGATGAATAATGACTGTTAAGATTATAGGAATGACTCAGGGATGCCTTTGCTTGGAAGCTCAGGCAGAAATCATTAATTGCCATCGCTGTTATGAAGCATTTCTTATGGTTCTTTTGTAGGCTTCCTAAATTATCACGTACTTTATTGATTCCTGTTTAATTCACCAAACAACAAACACACATTGATCAAAGCAGTTACAGACTGATCTTTACTGAATAGTCAGTTAAGTTCCTTTACTTTCTGGTGTAGCTTATTGTTGTGCAATTTCACTTATAGATAGCTTCATAGTTTTAACATTATTTTCAGTAAAAGTACAGTAACTGATGATAGAAAAATAGCTTATTAAATACAAAGAAGCAAAAGATGAACAGCATTAGTTTTAATCAGAGAATAAAATTGAAAAAGTGACGGTGAAAATGTATGTACTATTGTTCAAACCATATTATGGCTGAGATATAGATGGAATATTCCAAACAAAAAAAATCACTGTCTCTTACCTTTATGTATGTGAGATTGCACATTCCAAGTGCGTTCTTCTAAAATCTTGTCTTCTTCCTGCTGTGTTAGGAAGAGAAAAAGAGGAAAAGAGAGAAAGAACAGTGTGACACTGAAGGAGAAACTGATGACTTTGATCCCGGGAAAAAAGTGGAGGTTGAACCTCCTCCAGATCGTCCTGTCAGGGCATGCAGAACTCAGCCAGGTGAGCAGTGTGAAAAATGAATCATCTTGTGTGTTTTTAAAAGCACAAACAACAAAGCTTTTGTCAAAGGTGCCGAAATGTAAAATTTCCATGAGGATTTGCTGAAACCTAGAGACTTTATTTTTTCTGACATTCAGAACTTTCTGCTACCTGAAAAATCAATATTCCTCTTGGTGCTTCTGGGTTTTAGTAGGTTTCTTTTCACGTGACTGAACTTGCCAAGGACATAGTCTCTTGGCTCCTGTTACTTGTCAAAATAAAGCTAGTAAAAAAGTATTATTGTGCATAGTGTTCCTCTAATTCCTTCTCCTTAGCGTTTCCTCAGCGTTTACAGAACAATGGTCAGAACGTCTGAAACTAAGCTTTGCTCAGTTCAAAGGAAAAAATCTTGTGGAGACAGCTTTGCTGTTGTAAGATCTTTTTGTATAACCTATGTGGAGTTTTAATTTTAGTATCTCTATTTGTATCAAAAGGATGGCATTAAGTTGTGAGAGGGTGTCTCTAAAGACAGTAGTCCCCCCAGTTTTCATTCACCAATCCTCTTTAATTCTCATCACGAGCCAAAATATTTACAAGTTGCATGTGGTAACTTGCGCATATTTAATCCCTTCAGATTTTGCTGTGCTTTCTCTACCTGTAGCCATTGCTTGGTAGTTAAAACTCAACGTTATCCCGCGGAAACTTTTGCGTACAAGAATTTTCAAATACATCATGATCTCAGTACACATATGCCTGGAAATGGAACTTAATAGCAAAAAGCTGAGTCTTTAGGAATGTTTTGATTCTTGTCTTTGGAACACTGCCTGATGAATGATCAAGTAATTTGTTGAGGAATTTTCTAATTATGAATGTGCATTAAATTGAGGAATGGTGTCCACATCAGCTGTCAAGGTGACCTAATAGGGGTAACTGAAATTTTCTGGTCAAAGCTTTATTTCTGAGTAGCCTGGAGCTTTGAAAATGTGACAAGCTGAAAAAAAAATATGTATTTACAAGGCTTCTGCTTTCATCTACTTGGAAAATGTTGTTCAAAAGCATATAAATTATCTTGCCTGTTCCAGTTAAGAAGGGAAATGTTTCTCCATTATCATGATGAAGAATGGGAGTTTTAATTCTAGCTTTCAGCATGCTGGTGCTTTAGTTTTTCAAATTTCACATTAAAGCCAGTCTCTCTGAAGTATGTGCATGGAACAGGTAGTTAATGTGTAGTGTTTATTGTTTAATCTGTACAGGAAGTGAAATCTTAATCAGTACCTCTCTTGCCAGCAAATCTGCATCTATTTGTCACTTTTTTTTTCATTTGAAAAGATTCAGAGAAGCTAATCGTATGGGTGTTACAGTAAAGAAACCATGAAAATTGCCCAGATAATACGTTGTAAAAATGTGGATTTCCCAACTGCAGTATTTGAGCAACCAAATTTCACTTTTCTTTTCCTGTAAAAATACATAACGCCTTACTTTCATCTTATTAATACACTTTCTTACAAATACAAGACTTAGCACTATGTCTGATTTAATGTCTACTAGGTTTTAATGTGATTAAAAGGGGAAGAAATGATTACTGTATACTTAGAAATCTGATGTGCTTTGCTTTGAAATCCGTGTGTCATTGACCTTCAGATCAGTACAAGCAGTACTTGTAGTTAAGATTTTCTCTCTATTATTTCTATTTTTAAATAAATAAATATACCTGTATTCTGTTTCATTGCATTTATCTGTGTTTCCATCTCAAACTGCAGCTGAAAATGAGAGCACACCAATCCAGCAATTACTAGAACACTTCCTTCGCCAGCTTCAAAGGTACTAAGTCTATTGTATCTACAGCAGTGTTGACAGTGCCTAGTGCGTATTTATATGTGTTACTTTACAAGTACTTCTCCTGGTTTTCTGTTTGAAAATAACGCCTAAAGACTGCCTGTAATGTGTTTGGTAACCTTTGCAACCATGTCAGACCTGGGAGTTTTTAAAGATTAGTTAAGAAAAATTATTACCAACTCTGCAATTCTAGCTTTTGGCGGGGAGGTGTTTTGGGCAGAGGATCCGTTGATGTTATAAATTTATTAAATATTCATGACTTCGTTTAGGAATTAAAAAACAGTTATGAATTTTAACAGTTTAAAAGATTGAACTGTTTTCCTGAAATTTTGTTTTATTCTGAGTTCTTTGTCAGATACCAAAGCAAGTTTATACCTGTTTACTGAGGCTTTGTATGTTATTGTTTTCCATAAGATGTTAACCCTGTACCTCATGTTTAAAAAAAACAAAACAAAACAACAAACAAAATATTTCATTTTCCTTTTTTATTTCATGGCAATAGGCTGAATTTGGAACTAATTTGAAAATATTAAACACTGTAGTTGTTTTTAGAGGACCTCATGAACAAGAAGAATTAAAGAGGTTATTACTCAGTGAAGCCAAAAGACCCATTTGGAGACACAGAAAGCTTACAAGAAATAATTAAGTAGTTAAGAACTAGCTGAATCTCTTTCAAAAAGTCTACATATGTGTAACCAAAATTCTCTCCTGTATCATTAAATTTTTCAAATATGCTTCTGTTTTATGAGAGTGCTTTTAGTGTTTTTTTTAAGTAGTACTATTCTTTTTATACCATTAATGTGGTATAAAAACAATGATCATTTTGTTTGCCGATGTCAATCTAAATATATTGTTCTTATTTTTAGGAAAGATCCTCATGGGTTTTTTGCTTTTCCAGTCACGGATGCCATTGCTCCTGGATATTCCATGATAATAAAGCACCCCATGGATTTTGGTACGATGAAGGAAAAAATTGCAGCAAATGAATACAAATCAGTCACTGAATTCAAGGTGAATTAATAAAGATTTACTTATTTCAGAACTCTTTAGTAAGAAACCGAGGTTTATTTTTAGCTGTAGAAGCCTTTCTTACATTAATTATTTTAATGTGCATTTTTTTTAAACTGAGCACTTTTGTACATTCTGTATTTTAGAATGGGTTTCTAGGTTTGTTTTTCACTGTGGAAGCTCTCTATTTGTCAGATTCTAGTGCAAATTACTACAAATTACTGTGGAGACCAGGAACATGCTCTAAAGTTCTATGGAATTCGTGCTGCTAGACATAAAGTGGTTGTAAAATCTGGAGCTGCTTTTTTTTTTTTTTTAATCTAGACCTTCATAGATTGACTAAAAGGCAATTTTGACGTGGCTGCAAGAAAACTGTGGATATACTGAGGCATTTTGTATAAGATTCAATAACAGCTACATGTTTTTGTATTTAGTTATCCTGTTTTCCATGTAACTTCATTTGGAATGGTCTTTTGGCAGAAACTTACTTGGCAAGTTTATTGTCAACTTGACCTAGCTATTTTGAATGGCTTATATTTTCTGTAGGTGCTTTGACAAAGATTATTCTGTTTTGTTATGTATACTTTATTTTTCAGAAAAAAATATGAGATTTATAGGAAATTGTAAAGAAGGTTTTGTAGTAATAGCATTGCCATCGGCAGTGCCTTCAGGTCTCTACATTGTGTTGGCTTGCTGGATTGTCTTATTCAGCAGCTTAAAAGGAAGTTTGAAAGGGAGCTCCATGGCTTCATTTATTTACAGGCAAGGTTCCAATAATGAAGCTGGTGCAATAGGAACCTGAAAAAAAAGAAAATTGCAGTATTGTTTAGACTGTCAGAGTCTTTTTTTCTGAAGGACTTGGTTTCTGCTGGTACTCTGAGGAGCAATAAATGGTTGCTAGAAGTCTGTCCATCTTACAGTGACAGAGAGGTTGGACTCACTTTCTAGATATGTGAGCGTACCTGAGTATGCCTTTGTAATTCTGTGTAACACAGAAATTAAGGTTATAGGTTTTTGACCTGTAAAACAAGTCCTGCTCAAAGGGTTATCTTTCATTTCTGATACACTCATTACAACTAGCTGAGGCTAGTCACAAGCCAGTAAATAAGAGGAGAATACACAAGAACTATTTGCTGCATTTAGAAGAGGGGAAGTTGCTGCAGAAAACTCAGCTTTTCTACTTGCTTAGTATGGGCTTGATGATAACTACTAAATGATTAGGAGAGCACTGCTCTGACATCCCCGAATAGGGACAGGAAATAATAAAACAATTTTTTGTTTTCCCAGAGTCTGATCAGGATTGCAGTAGGGCAAGGTTATTTTTTTTGTAAATGTTGGGTGCCAGAGAAAGTCTTTAGAAGGACTTCTGTGTCCCACTGCAATAGTAACATTCAAAAATGTTTGTGTGAGCAGGTCTATTCACTGGTCTGTAAGCTCAGTGCGTTAACTTTTCAAAAAGCATGCCTTTCTGTTTGCACACACTTTTGCACATAACCAAGTCATCATCACATATAGTGGACTCATGCACAAAAAACATTTGCATTTGCGTCTACGGAATAAATGAAACCTAATTGCTTGAACAATCACTGTTTAGATATTGAAAAATTATTAAGAGAGGAAAATGTGTTCTTGAATCAGGCATCGGTTTAATTTGTTAGGATCCTAGTTGTGAAGCACCTGGAAAAAACTACTGCGTGACTCCTGGATATTGATTTGCCAACTTCAGAAATTTTCAGAGGCATGTAATAATGTCTTTTTAATTCAATGTTTCGTAGGCCTTCTAATAAGGCTTTCTCTGCTTTTTCTCTACAGATCAGTAGCATGTGACTAGTAAAAAGACACTCTAGAAAAGCTTTTGCAATCTGCAACAGATGTTTTTGTTTCTGTTTACGTTGTAGTATGTTGCAGCTTTCTTTTGGGAATTTGCATCAGTAAAAATTATTTGAAGTTATGTACGACAGACAGATAACCATCCAAAGGAGAAGACAAAATCAGGCTTGTCTATTCTGTTCTTTTGTTGCATGCAATGAGCATCTAGAAGGCTGTTTCTTATGCTTTGAAGTTTTCTGGTTTTGTTTTAGTGAAAGTGACTGAAGAAGTGGTCAAATTACTAGAATTAAAATAATAAGTAAGACACTTTGTATCTTTCTGCTGTCACATTACATTTCTCAAGTCTATTCTGATTTAGAAGGTGGGAGAAACAGCAAAAAGTACTTACCTTGGTGCCTCAATCCTTCTGTTAATTTCTCCATTTCTTCTGTTTGGTCCGTTTGCGTATGGAGGAAATGTTACATTTGGCATTCAGGGATTATTTATTTTAATTTTTTTTTTTATAACTAAAAAGCCAATTCCAAACAAGACTAAGCATCTTGAAGAAGCAAAAAGGACCCAAACCTTTGCAATTCTGTATTACCTTTTTTCTGGTATTTACGCAAGGAGCCTGCTGATAAAATATTACTGTGTTCCTCACAGAGCTGCCATGATGCAATGATATTTTCCAGTCATTTAATAAAGGAGTTTGAAATTTTAACAGTTCTTTTGTTTTGTATTTTACAGGCAGATTTTAAACTGATGTGTGATAATGCAATGACTTACAACAGACCAGATACTGTTTACTACAAGCTAGCCAAGAAGATACTGCACACAGGCTTTAAGATGATGAGCAAAGTAAGAGACCTATTAAAAACAAAAACTCTCCGGAGTTTTTTTGGGGTCATACTTAAAATGAACATAATTAATAATGGTGATAAATGTTATTTCATCCATCTGTGATTAATTTTAGCAGTGCCTGTTAGTGCTGCTATATTTAAGGGCTTGATAGCATTCTTGTTATAACCACACCCCTATTTCTCAACTCTGTTTGCACTGCTGAAGTCTGTAGGAGCTTCTGTTTCTGGCCTCAGTGGAAGCAATTAAGGTCCATGTATATAAAACTCAACTGTAAAATATTGCTCCTGGCTGAAGCTTTGAATACAAGATCTCATTTAAGTTTTATTTCTGTATAAACAAGAAAGGTTTTCTTTTTTGGAGGTGGTGGGTGTAGGGGAGGTTTCAGGGGTTTCACAGATGCACGTGCGCAAACAGATCTTTTTATTCAAATGGAGTTGTTGTCTTGTAAAATGAAGTTATTTTGGTGAGCTGCTCTGCGTGTGTGTGTGCGTGCATGCATGTGTTGCATTGATGGTAAGTTTTGTGTAAAATAGGCAGTTGTCTTTGCATATGCAGTTTGTTTGTTTGTTTGTTTCTCTCTTGATAGTTGGGCTGCAGAAATTCTGATGCCATGCTACCATGACCAAATAATGTTGCATCGCCATTGGAAACGAGGCATTAAGAACAAAATAAGGCCATGGCCATTCCCATCCCATCCCATTATCATAGCATCTTGGCTATGAGGGAAAGGTTAAGTCCCTGCCGCTCTGTCCTTTCTGATTCTAGGAACGGCTGTTAGCTTTGAAGCGCAGCATGTCGTTTATGCAGGACATGGATTTTTCTCAGCAGGCAGCTCTTTTGGGTGATGAAGACATAGCAGTTGAGGAACCTGTCCCTGAAGTTGTTCCTGTACAAGCAGAGACTACCAAGAAATCCAAAAAGCAAAATAAAGAAGTTATTAGGTAAAGGTTTTAATGGGCATGCTTACTGGTTTGTTGCAGCTTTTCTAATATTAGACAGCAGCCAAGAATTGAGGGGGGGAAAAAAGACTCCTTTCAGCCTTTCTCCTTGTGGTCCATAGGATTAATGGGCAATTTGATTGTCTTTTATTTATGTATTTATTTGTATAACTAGTTTAATAACCCAGTGATTCCCAACTTGAAACAAACAATTCAAAGACTGACTGCATATTGTTTTAAACACTTATGGTTATTGTATATGTAGATATTTTTACCTTTCTTTATGTCTATATTAAGTAATGAGTAGTTTCTGTTCATGATAGTTTGAAATGCTCTTGCATTTTTAACATAGCCACAAATATCTTTCATATTTTGTCCTTTTTTTGTGTGTGTTTTTGTCCCCTTAAATGGTAGACTGTCAAAATCTAAACAGGTTCTTTCTGGAAGGGCAAAGTGCCCCAGATCAGGAAACTATTTTATTTAACTTTAGTTTTTATGATTAAGCTTCTCTGTAAAATACATTGCTAGTGCAATAGCCGTCTCCCAGCTAATAGACAACTCTGTCTCACAAAGTCATGGTTTTATAGCTAAAATCTAATTTTAGTCAAATTAAAGGGTTTTATTTTCTATTTTATGATATTTTAGCAGAAACTCTGATTTACAGGCGAATTATGTTGTTCAGTGTTCTTACATAGACATCCTAGGACAGATGTTGATTTTAAGTTGGAGAGCATTATATCAAGTAGAATTTTATGAGAATAAAACTGTAACAGAGCATTACTAGTCATGTTTTAAATAATCTGATCATGCAGATATGTTCTGCGGGCTTATTTCATAAACATCCAAAGTAAAAAAAGAAAAAAAAAAAGTGAAATGTGACTTATTTCAATTTCATGGTCTCTCATTTTTGTTGAAAGTGAACTTTAAAGTTCTAATCGGCCAGATGTTTTTTGTAACATTTCGCGCATTTTTGTAATCCTGCTTAATGTCTGATGGAAGTAGTAGAATTTTCATGTAGTTGTTTTGTGGAGATAGGAGACTGCAACATGTATCTTCAAAAATAATTTTAAACTGAGTAATTTTTTTGGCTGGAACTATTCTAATGTCAGCATACAGAGACATATCTGTTGCTGTATCATGGAGAATTATCAAAGGGTAGTTTGTTTTTTGTTTAAGGGATTGTGTTTAGGAATTTAGGAATTACCTTTCTGTAAAGAAGACTTGATTGGGAGGGAGGTTGTTTGCTTTTTGTTTGGTTGTTTTTTAAAAAGTTATGATGATTTGGTTTGTATGGTGCCCAGAATAATAGATTTTCTCTTCTGATTAATTCTTTCATAAACTCCATTACAGGAGTAACTTCATACTTTGACACTTTTTATGTGCTTATCTTCAAATACGGATGGCTAACAGAACAAGAAATTGAGACAGCCAAGCAATATAGTACTGCTCTGTCTTTAATATCTACCTTAAAATACAGTTGAGATAGTAAAAAATAACTGCCCTATAACTGTTCTATCATGATAGTAGTTTCCTTGCAATCGGTTATGGTATAAATTTACTTTGCTGTTCTTTTCAGTTTTTATGTAGTTGGAATTAATTTGTTTTTTATTATTAACTCGACCTTTTAAACACTTGTATTTTGGTATCAGTAGGATAGATATTCCTTTTGATGTACAATAAGAGCTTTGGTGGGAGAATCTAACGTACTAGCAAATATTTTTGCCTTCATATTTCGCAGTTGAAAACAGAGAGAGAGCCAAAGTCAACGTTTGCAAAGTGTTAAAGCAGTTTAGACCTCTGTACTGTAGTTGTGACTTGATCACTTGGACGTCCTAATATCTAAGTAGTTTTTGAAAACTTTATCCAGGATGTTGCAGCCTTCTGAACATTCTTGCAAAATTCTGGTCCATTAAGTATTCTGTAGAGTGTGATAGAAGGTGCCAGTTGTTGAGGAGTTTCCTGCTGTGTACACCCTTTCTTAAACTTCCAGTGAAACACAAATAGTGTAACACATTTGTCTCGTAATAGTATGATCTTGTGATCTTTTTATTGTCTTTAATAGCAAAACTTTCTTGTGTATCGGATCTGAATCTCTATACAGAGAGAAATTCTTAGCTAAGCAAATGGAAGAAGATATCCCAGGAGAGAGAAATGGATTTGGTGTGAGGAGATGTTCTACCCAGTACCTAAGGTGTTTGGCCCTAGTGTCTAATGTCCGTATAATGCCCTGAAAGATTTTGATGTCCAAAGTTTATTTTAAATATATGATATAATGAAGACTGTCATATCCTCCTGATATCTTTACACTTCCCTGTATGATACTACCTTTCTCTGATTTTATATAATAGCTAAGATATGTCCTGTTCCATCTTAGGGATGCTTATTTATTATGTTTTTTTATTGCTTTGGTACTTTAACAAAAAAAGGCTCTACAGAAAGAGAAATGTTAAATTCTGTAATTTCAGTGAGAAGGAATGGTGTGATTAATACTGATTAGGAATACTAATTGCCAATATTAACCAATGTAGGACTTAAAGGGCTCCGTGTTAGACTGGGAGCAGTGTCCTACTTTTACAAGCCACTAAATTACATAATCCTCATAAATACAGCCTGTTGGTTTTGGGGTTTTTTTTCCTCAGATCAGAGTTACAGAGTCTCCATTCCCTCATCATGTAATTTCTTTTCTGCATCCTTCTATTTCGAATTTGTGAAAATAGCATATTCGTGCATGTGGGAGACTTAAGGATGCATGCAGCATGCACCTTGTATTAATGCGATTTTACTCCCAATCTCTGATTTGTAATATTTCCTTTATTTTCTTCAAGGTACAGAAGCAATTACATTTTTAAAATTTGGTAATTTGGTAGTTCTCAGCTTCTGTAACACTTCAGTTTCATAATATGATTATAATTCCATTTAAAAGCTGAAGTAGACTGACACTGGGAGAGGAGTGGGACTGATTGTTCTATTTAGCAAACTCCAAATGTAGCCCTTTGTTTTGTTTTGGCTTTTTAATTTCTACAGCTCCTCCTCTTCTCTTTCTTAGTTGCATATTTGAACCTGAGGGAAATGCATGCAGCCTGACAGATAGCACTGCTGAAGAACATGTCCTGGCACTAGTGGAACATGCAGCAGATGAAGCTCGGGATAGGATCAGTCGATATCTACCCAACAGCAAGGTTTACTGCACAACAAAGTTCACAATTCCATTTTGTGTCTGACTGTTGAAAGCTTTGTTTCATCTTAGTATTATGTTTTCTGAGGCTGTAAGATCTAGGATGTATGTTCTGTGTGGAATACCAGTATGACTATTGTCTATTATTTAGTTCCCAGTGAAGCCCGTTGTAGGGTGTCCAAAATGGATCTCAAGTTGTATTGCGTGTTGAACATCTTTAGAAATTCATTTGCAGAAAACAGTGGAACGTCGTTCCGTGTTGAATCTGGCTTCCTTAAGTGCAACCCTTAGCATTGAAACTGATTAAAATAGCATCACGCTCCTATCATTGCAACCTCAGAAAAAGCAAACTTTGGCATAGGTTGAATGGTTTTTAGGATTTCCCCCCCAACCCAAGGAATTAATGAATTTTTAAGTGTTAAATGACTATTTTCAATGAGAAGTCCAGAGCTTCTTGTAGTTTTCTACCTACAAGTAGTAGCCATCAGGTGTAGCACATTCTTACATGAGTACAAAATGCAGCCATCCTTTAGTGACTCGGAGAAGAGAGCAGTAGTTTGTCCATGTTGGAAATTTGGACAATGCTAACCACAGGTTTGGTGATCTGAAATGTGATTCTGATCCTGTTCCACGTGTTTGGTTTTGGGAATGTTCCAAAAGTTCTAAGGAAAAACTGTGTGATACTATTAATGCAGTTTTCTCAGCATGATCTGTTTGTCTGCATTTTTCTTAGCTATATGATAATGGTGGATCCCTTCATTACTTAGTGCTGGGGTTGGAGTGAATGCTACAGGCATTTGCTACAAGCCTATGTTGAGCTACGTTTACTCCATTTCCCATGCATCTTGTAGAGTCTTATTCCCACTGCTATACTTTGTCCTAATTTCTCATTCTGTCACGTACCCTGGTGACTATTGCAATCAAAAAAAGAATCAGGATATTTCTAGATCCTGCATTTTCCAGATACTTTTTTAATAACTGTTGCGGAAGAAATATTTCCTTTGAAGCAATTAGTGATAGCAGTTGGGTCTTCAAACTTAAATGTCTATTTCTTGGACAATGGCCCTTATTACGCAGTCACCTTAGGCTCAACTGCATTAGGAGGCAAAGCCTCACAGAACAGTGGGAGAAGGTCTAGCTTCTTCAGTGTATTCCTGTTTCTTTGGATAATCAGAAGAGTTCCTGGGGTTGAAGGCTATTTGAAACCTCCAAAGTAAGGGTGGCTTTTTAAAACTCCTTTAAAGCAATACCGATCTGCTAATTGCTAGCAATCTTTACTGAAAAGGCCTTTCATGTTGATGCAGTCAGTTTAGCATCTAAGCTGTTAATCAGCTAGACAACCCACTGCAGGTGCCCCTGAATCTAGGTAATGCTGACCCATTCTTAGAGTTCAGCTGTTGTTAACTTTTGCCCTTAGTTGAAGGTATTGTTCCTGTTCATTCTCTTTCCAACATTTGTCACCTCTATTATATGCCAACCTTAGCTTTGGCCTTACCTACAGTGAGAGTTTTGAACTTTTTAAGAGGTAGAGGGAAAAAAACAAAACAGGAGAGGGATTGCATGTTCAGTTTACTTGGAACTATTTACTAATGTTCCTTTAGGCAGAGCATAGTTTTAATTTTCCATGGTTACTGAGAAATTGTGCAAAAAGCACAATCCACGATTAGTCAGTTTCTGACACAGCTTCATTTGTTGCATCGGTTCTGGCTCTGTCTTTACAGACCCCAGTGTCTTTTTAGCATTGTGTCTATATGCTGTGATAGGTCTGTCACAGCACTTCTTTAAGAATTTCATAGTGTGGTCGTAAAAGTACTTCTAATTAGAGAAAGTTATGGGTGAGATGTGAAAACAAGCAGTTCAGTCTAGGTTTGAAAATAAACAGTGAGGTTCCTTGTAGATAGGAGTTACAGTTCTGCTTCTAAAAAGAAAGCATGTTCTAGGCTTGGCAGTTAGAAAGCCTGGCTCCATACTAATTACAGCGGCATTGTTTTTGTCTTGGATGCAAACTTGAAATCTGATTTAGGAAGATGAATAAGGACTTGTATGTATGACATTAATTTTTTACTCTTAAGTCTTCTGTTCTGAAGCATTTGCTAGGTGATGATAAATAGTTGTGACCCAGAGATTCTCACTGTGTTAAAAAGGGAATGCCAGAGTGCAGGATCTGAATACACCTAAAAATGCTTTTTATAGTTTTCTGTGTAAGTAAGCAACTCCTGCTTTGAGTTTGGACAGTTTTTAATGACTGCTTTGTATCTTTGTGGTTCTATTTACAGATTGGTTATCTGAAAAAAAAAGGAGATGGAACTTTATTATTTAGTGTAGTAAATTCATCTGATCCAGAAGCAGAAGGTAAATGCCATAATCTTTAAAGCAAACATTTGTAATGTTGAATATTCTAGCAGATTTTGAAGTCTTAACTGTACATACAGATTCTATGTAGTATAGATGAGTTTAAAAAAAAAAAATCCCCAAACCATTTTCCCCAACAGATATATTTAATATCTCCAATATAAAAGGTTTCTCTTTGCGTTTCAAATTTTCACTCTTCAGATGCTCTGTCTTACTGATGCTAACAGTAAGAAGGTAAAATAATGTCTATTTATAAGCACTTATACATTGCTACAACATTACAGAGGACTTGGAAGACGGGCTTTTGCTCCACGTACCCTCTAGTGTTCAAATCTAATAGACAGAAGGTGAATGGAAGTGCTGTAATCCTATGTAAATGTGCAATACAGAATCATCTTTTACCTTTGTTTTTACTTCTTAACTTAAATCATTACGTACATTTCCGTTTGAAGTTAATTAGGTTTTGCGTAATTGTTTTTCTTTGGTTCCTTCATCTTTTCTGTGGGTTTTTGTTTAGGTCACTACTATACATTATTTATATTGTCTTATGCTTTCCACTTGTTTCAGTTTTGAGCTCAAAATGCATAAGTTTTGAAAGTTTGTAATGAATGAGATGTCATAGTCTTTACACTGCTGTATGTCATGTTGATGTAGCACTTCCTTCTCTGCACTTTTTGAGACTGGAATGAATTCACAGCTTACCTATTGTTGCATTGATGAATACATGAATGCTTTTGACTAGTCACACTTCTGTTGATTTTTTGGATTGGAAGATACAAGCCAGTAACTCTATTACTATCTCAGTTCTTTCTTGTTTGGTAGTAAATTTTTCCGCGATGAAATTGAGCATTTCAGCTGCCATCGTGCCCTTACCTATTTCTGGAAAAAAAAAAAAAAAAGAATGTAATTTAATACCTCTGAAATAATTCCACTGAAAATTTAGACAGTGATGGTAATGGAAGCGTTTCACTGTGTGCTGTAAAGTACTGCACTGCTTCCTGATGTTTCTGTGCTTCATAATCTTTTTTGTTTGTACAGTTAATACTAATTACACTGAATTTAGAGCTAATACTATCATTTTGTTGTAGTGAGTTTTTTCTTACCCTAGTAAGGTCCTAGGGATAAACTTGCTTTCTGTTGTTCAGTAATTGAGCATAATTACCATTAGATTCCGTAACAGCCAGAGAGATTGAAAATAAGTGGAAGTGTCATAAATGTTGTTGGGCTTACTTGAGTTTAAAAGCATAATCCAAATTACTGGAGCCATTTTAATTAAGCAGTTGTCAGAGCTGTGGAAGAAAGAAATATTGCTATAGCCATCATGGTAATTATCTTAACAAGGTTATTTATGTCTGGGTTTCTATGGACAAACCACCCCTTAGTCAACATAAGAAGTTGCTTTTAATTGCTTCATAGTGTCTGGATCTTGAATGTTTCTGAATTGGCTGGTAAAACAATTTCAAATGCTGCTGCATACTTTGAAAGTGAGATAACTAAGTAAGCCGTAGATCTTGTGAATAAGAAATGGAAACAAATTTGCAGCATGTGTTTGAAATCTAAATTGAGAACCTGAATTACAGTACCTATCCTTAATAAAAATGTACAGATTAAAAGACAGTTAGCCTTTATGGTCACTGCAACTTTTTAAAATAGCAAAATCTAAATATTCACCATAAATAATTTAATCATTAAATACTTTAATAAAAATTGTCTTCTTTTGAATCAAATTATTAGAGGAAGAGACTCACCCCGTGGATCTGAGTTCACTGTCAAGCAAATTATTACCTGGCTTCACTACACTGGGCTTTAAAGATGAACGAAGAAATAAAGGTAAATGCCAAAGAACATGTTTTAGCTTTGTGTTAATTGTTTGAGCAACTTCTTGATATAAAATAATTTCGGATCATACCTGTCTCCAAATGAAAACTCGCTTGGTTATTTGTGTGATATATAATTATTCAGTTTACAGCAGAATGCAGTTTGAATGAAATTGACTTTTTTGCTTATTAAACAAAACTTAATTAAGAGTTTATGGATTAATGTTTTGGCTTTTTGTTGTAGCCACACTAGAGGGTTTCGAATAATGGTACTCCATTTTCTCTGGAGGAAATAATTTTTGCTGAACAACTGTGCTTACAGTTGAGGAAAAAAATCTTTTAGTCATTTGCAGTTTTGTATTATATGACAGAGATTTCACAAACTGTGGATTTTTTTTCTGGTATTATTGACATTTTTAATAGTTTCTAATCTGCTCTCCAGAACCTGACTGGCCAACAACAGTGATGTAGACACACGCAAAAAGCAGAAATATAAAAAGGGGTGAGGGGATGAATCTTTTTTTGTGGGTGTGACGTGGTTAACTAAGTTCTTTATCTTCCAGTAGTGTAAGTACATTTATTTATATAGTTAAAATAGTTGCGCTGATTCTGGAGTCTGGAAATGTCCTTGAGATATTGCTCTTGATTTCAATTGGAGGAAAAAACACACTGCATTCTGTATCTGCTTCAGAAAGCAATTTTTTTTTTATCCTCCCCCCAAGCGATCTTTGACGTTTGTGTTCGTCATTTGTCATCTCTTTCTTCTATCTGTCTAGTAACCTTTCTTACAAGTGCTAGTACAGCACCATCCATGCAAAACAACTCTATATTTCATGATTTGAAATCAGATGAAATGGAACTCCTGTACTCAGCGTATGGTGATGAAACTGGGATACAATGTGCCTTAAGGTAAGCACCTCCTTATGAGGAGGCTTGACTTCTCGTAGCAATTTTATGAAAAGCAATTTGGACTAAACGTCAACTAGGAGCCTCCAAGTACTGTTATTTTTCTAAAACTAATTTTAAAAAGAACTCACTATAAAACTTGAAGCTAGCTTTTGTTCTGGTTGGAGATGTTTTTTTGGGTTTGGGTTTTGTTTTGTTTTGTTTTTTTTTCCATTTACACTTTTAAGTTACCCTATTTCATTGTAAGATTGTTACGGATCTTGTTATTAGGATCTTTGACCACAGAATATTATAGGTTGCTAAAGATTTAGCATTTGGCTTTGAACCCAGCAGTATGTTTAGATATGCAAATAATAGATCTCAGTGACTTTAAAACTGTGATATTTTTCAAGGAGTTTCAAAACAGTTAAAGTTACTTGAAAAGGAAAATGCCAGTTTTCATTAAATTTTCAATCCTGGAGGAAAAGAATTAATCACAAGTTTTTTTCTTCCTTTTCTGTGTCTGGTTTTTTTTAACCACAACCAATGGTAGTTCAAGTAAAAATTTGCTGGTAGTTGTGAAAAACAAGTTTGTGCATAAATTTATTTCCATTTAAAAAAAATAAAAAGAAGAAAAAACCCCTATCTTGAAGGCCTTAGTTGCTTTTCTGAAGAAGCGTAAAAGAGTAAGGAACAAAGAAAATGTAGGTGTAATGCAGCATAGTTGGGGAAAACCATATTATAAGTTGAAATCTTTTTTACAAAAGTAAACCTTTTCTGTAATGCTTATATCTCTGTTCCTCCTAGCTTACAAGAATTTGTGAAAGACGCTGGAAATTACAGCAAGAAAATAGTAGATGATCTTCTGGACCAGATCACTGGTGGAGATCATTCCAAAACGATTTATCAGCTAAAGCAGGTGTGTCCTTGATGCATAGAAATGTCCCAAGTTCATCAGAAGAAGAATGGACCTGTTTCTGGTTGTAAATATTGTATGAGATTCTTTGTTTTCCACTGTCAGTTTAAGCAGTGCAGGTTTAGCTGTTCATGCAACTGTGTGGTGAACAAAATCAGAAACTGAATTAATCAGCAGAGAGGTAATCTTTTACTTTTCTCTAGCTAGATTAGTTCTCCATTATGTGGTTGCCGAAAGGAGGAGGCAGGCAGGTGAAACAGCGAGGAGAAGGGACCAGCCAACTGCATGCTGTTTGGGCAGCCCTGTCACTCCATGTCATGACTTAACGTATTTGCTTCTAAGTTATATTGCAATGCTTTTGTTAAGGATTTTTTTTTCTTAATTTAAATGCAAAATATATTCCTTATGGAAGGTTTTATTATTTGGAACATTGAAATAATGTTAGAGGATAGATTTATATTGCTGTACAGGTACCTGTTACCCAACAGTACTAACTTTTAAATGTTCGTAGGATGTCTGAAGGAAAAACTTTTAACTTCTTTCCAAAAGCACTTTACCTAGGAGATTCATACTGAAGACTGGAGAAGGGATTTTTCTCAGAACTGTATATAATTCTAACGGGAATGTTTGCATTCCCAAGACTAAATAGACTACCAGAAAACTGCAAAATCTTGTTTCATATTATCTTCACTCTGAAAACCACTCTTAGTTTGAAATAATTGTTTAAAATGATGACATTCTGAATGATTCGAGAATAAAGACGGGGGCAGAGAAGAAAATGGGAGGTATTCCGGCTTTGCGACATGGTGGAAGTGAGATTATGTTACATTTCTGTAGATTTAGAATAGGGTGGGTGATGTTTGGGGAAAGGAGACAACAGAAAGAAAAATAGAGAGGATCCTTCAGAATTTTTGGGGTGTTTTTCCAATCCCTACTGGAGAAAGATTGTATATGAAACAGGAAGAAATGTAAACAATTAGTTGAAAAAAATTCGAAAGTTCAAAACCAGTATTTTTAGTATTCTTCTACATCTGGAAATGTGTGTATACAACACATTGAACTTAACTTTCAAATAAAACATGGACTTTTCCCTTTTTGCGACCTTCTTCAATGAGTGTTGTTGGAAATGAGAAATTCTGAATACCTTTCAGATGGTCAATAGCTATTTACATGTAGAAATGCTGTTCAGTTGCGACATACTTGGATATGTATAGATTTTGTGCAATGAAATGTGTTTCAGTGATGATGTGCCATGGTGTTTTATGCCTGAGCATTTTGTGCTGCTACGCTTGAGGAAGAATGGATATCTCTGACAGTGCAACCTTAAATGATTTGGAATCAGAAGTTACTGAAATAGTTACTAAGATACTGCACTTGAATATAAAGTTTATGGGCTTTAAGAAGAAATAGCGTAAGGGAACTCAAAGATTAGTTGAAATGCATAATACTAAATATTTCAAAACCGTAACTGTTACATTGTAATTACATTACAGATATGTGAGAAAGCTGAAAAATGAGCACTAGCCTCATTTTGTGGGTGAAGTTTGAATATACTCAAAATCTTACAAGAGGGAGGTCTTTCTCTTATGTTGAATAAAAGTAATTTTTAGTATTCTTTCTTTCCAGAGGCGAAACATCCCAGTAAAAGCACTGGATGAAGTTAAAGTAAGTTATGCTGATACTCAGTCTGGGGGTTTTTTTTACTGGAAAAAGTGTCGTGGCATTTAGAGAAAATGGTGTTCTCTGGGCTTCCAACATTCAATTCCCTAATTTTATTTAATGTGCATCTGTTCTGTATAATAATAGAGAAAAGCTTGATAAGCGGAGTGTATGATAAAGAAGAGACTGTTAGGTTAGTCCTCAGGAGGCTGTCCTAACTGGGCTGAGGCCAGCTGTATGAGGTTCAG